ATTAAGCCGTGACGACCATTCACCAAATATCTGCTACAAGATCCTAACCCCTTCGCCAAAAGTATCGCTTCAGGGCTTCTTTGACAGGATGAAGTTAGTATCTCGTGGCTACTCGACAATACTCAGTTTGCAGAGAAGTAACCGGACCTTCCACTCATCATTCTGGGCGGTCAATTCAATGGCGAACAGGACATCGTACCGCTTGTACCAAGCATCGAAAGTTACGCGAGCTTTGGGGTCGTATAGAAACTCTGAGATGCTGTCAGCAGTCTGATCCATCGATTAAAAACTGTCAATGCAACCTGACTGAATGGACTAACTGGACATTTTACCGGGTACTATGGACATCAATTTGAACTGCTACTTTGGCATCTGCTTCAAATCAACATATCCGTTTGTTGATTAGAATCAACCAAGTGTGCCAACACGGCGCTCATCACAGTTTTTCTTCCACCATTGCGTAGATTAGCTGGACAATGCTCGCGTATTCTCTCAGACAGCCTCCTAGTAGTTCTTCCAATGTATCTTGCTCGACATGAACAAGAGAAGGAATATACACAATAAGAAGTACATGACCAGGGAAGTCTGTCTTTGAGTTGGGGCCTCACGATTGGTGTTGAAGTAAAACTTAGCCGCAAGCTCGCTGCGTAGTACGTATGACCTATAGCGTCCGATAATCTTCTAAATGTTGCCTGCGCTATGCCATCCCCCTTGAACGGCAACGACAAATAAACCGGTTTCTTTTCTACCGAAGCTGGTTTAGCTCTCATTTCTCTGCAGTCCATATACTTCCGAACAAATTTTTCTGGATAGCCGTTTCTCTCGAAAACGCCACTTAAGAAACTGAGCTCGTCCGGACGAGCTCATTTGTGCCCTCAGAAGGGAGTTTCCCTCGGTACCAAATGCCTTGTGTAGAAGACCGCACTGAGGGCGCTTCTTCTCTATGGATCTGAGGAGCCTTCATATATTTGATCGCGCCTTACGGAGCATCGGTGGTGCCGGATGACACACACATCCTCAGCAATGATGTGCATAGATGATTGATAGTTCTTGGGAAAATAAATAACATCGAATGCGTTGTGTTGGCTTGGGCACATGCTGCAAATGCCTGGTCACCGCTTACCGAGTACAGCCTTGTTTTGTTTGCCAGATGTAGGATGGCGCAAGTCTCGAGGTGGGCACAAATGGCTTAGTAACGGGTAATGAAGTCACTGACTATTAAACGGTACTGTTGGATCATCACGCCTTTCACGCTGGAATCCATGTGATCCGTCTTTTGTTTAGTTCGAGACGTTACACGATATGGCTCGCAATCGACGTTAGTGACACGTCCGCTGTCACCTTTTATTCGGACTGTATGTTTAGTATCTGGTGTTGAGTTATCTTCGCTGTAGTGGCTGATTATGACGCGGAGCATTGAAAGCCACAAGGATGTTGCTCATCGACGCCACCCCATCTTTTCACGATAACCAGCTGTTTGTGACGGTATGTTGTTACCAAAGTGTAAGCTCCTTGAACCTGAACGTTTGCCTAAGTCATTAAAGTTTTACGCTTGACCCCTCTCCTCTCTCTCATTGGTCTTTCCGTGAGCCATTGTAGTTGTGCGGCAGCGAAGCATCAGCTCAAATGACTGAGATACTGCTGCTGTTATTGCTGTTGCGAAGGGCCACAGATTACGACGTTGTTTTAAGAATACTTCGAATCACGAAGTCGACCACTCTATAGCAACTCCACACCATTAGACCCACCGCTTCGCAGAGCACATTCGCTGGCATCGTACATGGCTAAGTTGAACCATATGGGTGGTGCGCTGCAACTGTTCTACACCATTGATGATATCGAGGGACTGCTAGTAATCAACATATACCCTCATACAGCGAAAAATTGACTGATTTGAGATCGTCGCAAAAATTCGGACACTTATTGATAAACCACTTCAGAGAGCTACTCTGTCGATTGACTTGTACCTAACTCGTATGTCCAGAACAACCACGGTGGGTCGATTGAAGGTTCGACGGTGCTCGAGTATCTGACTGACTACAACGATGCTGCTAATGCAGCTGGGCGTGGGCAAAACTATCTGCTCTTCACGTATGCATTCTCACTTTCCGGCTAGGCCTCCGTAGAAGCTGTGAGACGAGCAGTTCAGATGTAACGCAATTGTGACTGACCACTCGGTAGTCGGCTCAAAATGTCCCGTCACTTTGAAAACAAAGACACTATCTGTCAAGCCCAATTGAACCGACTTGGTTGCTCTGGCGCAAATCTTTTAAATGGGGGGGAGTTAGTTCACAGGGGAGCAACCGGCCTCCATCTTTAAAAGGACGCAGAGGCTGTTCATCCGGGTGTTGCGATTAGTGACGCTTCAGAAGACGAGGCTTTTGGAATCTTCAGCTTGGGATGGCGTGGAGGTGCTTACCCATTAAGTCCTCAAGTTCAATCAAGCTTTATCCACACATCTAGGTGCATTTTCAGCATTTTATCACTAACATTGCGGAATATAATACAACAATGCATCAATGAGAAAAATACACTTGACCACCACTTCGATGAAGGATGTGGTCACGAAAGCAGTGTTTCACTTCTACCGGATCGACTAGTGAGCGCGCTAACTGGTGCATGATGGCTTTTCGACACAACAAGATACAAGAGTATAACATTTACATTTTGTCCTTGTGGTAGAAGTAAATATACTGCTGGTTAGGATAGCATATACAATGTGCGAGGGTGAATTTAAACTCCTGGAGGAAAAGTTAATGCATTCCTCGAAATGCGCGTTAACTGTGATTCAATCAGCGGTTCTTTACTTACTCCATAGCAGCGAACGGATAAGAAAAACATAATCTTTTTGAAGCCTTCCGTTTAAAACAACGGGAGAGCTGTGGCGTCGCCACGACATTCGTCTCTCCATCAAAGGGCGGGTCTATTGTGCAACTGTTCGTGCTGTACTCTTGTACGGATGCGAGAATTGGCCCATTCGTAAAAATGAGTTGCGCAGGCTATACGTTTTCGAGCACCGCTGTCTGTGGTTCATTGCGCGTTTGTGGTGGCGGCACCACGTAAGCAATGTGGAAGTTAGACAGCGTGTCTTGGGACGTGGAAGCTACTCGCTCGAGGAGCCCATCTCACTGCATCAACTGCGTTGGTTGGGACACGTATTGCGCGTGCCTGCCCAACGTTACCCGCGTCATTCGTTGTTTGCACTTGCTGGACAGGGCTGGAAGAGACGGTCTGGTGGACAGCCTGCAACATGGGGAATCCGGATGAAAAAGTTGACGAAACAGTTGGTCTCGGCCGGTTGTTGTTGACTACATGGTTGGTGTCCGAGAGATGCGGATACTTGCTGGTTGAAGACCTTGGAAGCCATGGCTCAAGATCGATGTCAGTGGCGGATGTGTGCATCGGTTTGTTGCGGTGTCCCTCCTTCCTCCCCCTAAAAAACAAACTGAAAAGATTCCAAAAACTGAGTGGCAAACCGGACAAAAAAGCTTTTGTTGTTATTTTGTTATTATTCATACTGTTTTGCTATTCAGCCATGATTCCGATGGCACAATATCTGTACCGCAGATTGTGTATAATATGTTTAATATAACTCCTAACGCTCTGAGAAGTTACCGCTGATTGTCCGCGACTGCTTATTCATCTCGTCTGCAAGGCAAACACCTATTCGCAGTTACCAACACAGGGAACTCGTTCCCAAATCCTCAACCTGGGGACGCGCCCGATATCGTACAGCTCCGCCACGGGAAGAGTATGTGTAGACCACAGTAAATTGTGAAATAGGGAAACTCCGAGATGTTTTGCAATGAATGTGCGATGTATGCTTTGGTCATCCACAGTCATGGGTTGGTATGTACAGGGGAATGGAGCCTGTTGGGATGTAGAAGAAAGGACGATACGTCATAACACTTGGATGGGTTGAGAGAGGGAGTCAGAGGCTCGACCAAGTCACTAGTTCGTCAAACCGTTGTTAAGGTTTCAGGTTGTTCTCGATGGTTTGCGTTATACAACCCAGGACGACTTCATCAGCATATTTACAGCCCTTGAAGTTTGATAGAATAAGTGGCCGATGACAACTGGAGTTGTTCGCCTGCCATCCGATATGTACTCGAGGTTATAGGAATGATCATATAGCCGGACACAATATCTTTGATGCAGCACTATAGGGGTTCCACTCGTACTCAATGGAGACCCAGCTAGGCAACTTATAACTCCCCATGTACCATAGGTTCAATGATTGCGCCATGTCGTAGGTTATATTTAGAAATGCTGTGCGTCGGTTGTCATTGACAAAGGCACAATTGCCTCTGTGATCATTATCCTTACTTGTGCTGCAACTAAGATATCGTACCCTGGTTATAGCATTTGAATGATATCATTTTTGGTGACATCCCTTTAGTAACTGGTAAATAGACTAGCACAAGACTGCGAACATCCAGCATGATCTTAATACGGTGCCTGATCTTTTCTATCCCATTCGTCATATGGCGTGCCTTCTGGTTGAGTCACACTCGTTTTCCTTCCTTATTGCTAGTCATTTACTGATTGGCGGCCCAGTAGCTAAGATGTTTCCTACTCCTGGCACGCGATTGCCAATGGCCACGTGCGGTTTAGCATTAGGGCGTGACTTTCGTGTGCTACCGATTCCCCATTGCCTTGCCCCCTTTTTCCATTTTACCTCTAGTTGTATTGTTTGCTTTTTGTTTGTTTCTAATCTTGATACTCTGGTCAGTGGCCTAAAAAATAAGTCGTCTACCTTGCATCCCGAACTGCACCAGTTCGAGCTTGCGTAGGGAATCGTTTGACCCTTGCGCGACTGGTAATGTTTGCATGGCAAGGAATCCTTGGTAAGGCGCAATGCTGATGCCTTCTGCATTTGCTAAACGGTGTTTCGATATTGTCATTTGCGCCACAAACACATTTCTGGTTCTGTCCGTAATTTAACATTATCCGTAGATACTATTTTTACCATCACCTCTCTTCTATGCCTTCTCATCTAGGCTACCAAATGTTCCAATTTGCTGATGGAGAGACTAGACTCTACTCACAGACGCACGATGGCTTTGTTGGCTAGCCGATGCTATTATTATCACAGTCGAAGTTACGAACTAATTGGTCGTCTGGAGGCTGTTCGTTCGTTCTTCCTCGCACGTCTGCGCACCGCTACTTTGAGATCCGTGAGTTGGGTTGTGGTGTCACCTCGGCCATAGCAACCAAGTAACCGTTTTTATTTGTGGAATTAGCGATTAAGGTCTTTTTGGATCAGTCTTTTGGAGTTTTGCTGTCTTTTTCCCTTCTTATTTGATATACTCTATCAGCCACTTTCGATTCTCAGGGGTTGTTCTTGCTCAACAGCTGTTGCTGTTTTTATGCGAACAGTTCAGTTCAATTCGATTAAACAACTATGTTCCGGACACCGAAATGCGCTGGATCCGGTTACTACGACTCACCTCGCCAGAATACCAAAAAATAAACCACGGTACGAAAATGGGGTTGAATGCGAATATGTTGTGAAGAAAATGGAATCGAAAAGGAATTACATCAAACTAATCTGGATGGAATGCAACTTAACAGCTAGATGCAAGGAACCGAATGCAAGAACTCCACTAACTGCACAACTGCGCCATGTGATAGGAAATCTAACCCCTGCTGTGGACCATGCTGGGGCCTTCATCCATGAAGACGGTATGCACCTGCCTCACCAAGTCTCGGTCAGTTTCTTCATGCATTTACGCCACGTCATAGGCTGGTCGCCTCGCGGTTTCGCCCAGCTTATCGTAGCCACTGGGTATAATGCATGCCTAGAGAGTAGATCAGCGGATACACGGAGGACATGATTCAGCCAAGGGAGCAGTTAAGATTCGGCACAAGCTGGACTGAGGCATCAGAAGGCTTCTCGTCAAAATCCCAGGGGACCTCAACATTGCTTACTTTGTGTCCCCACTAGATGTGAGCGATGCTCTGCAAGCACAGGTGATCAAACACGGCCGTGCGTTTAATCTCTTCATTGCAAACTGATCAGGTTTTTGATCCATACATCAACACAGGTCTTATCGCACCGTTACACACTCTACCTCCCTTGCAAGCTGATATCCCGCCGCCTCCATAGATGGTTGAGCTTTTGAAAAGCCTCATGGTGCTTGATGATACGCGAAATGAGTGATGTGACCACCAGAGCTGACAGCTACCAAAGCAAGTAAACCCACCATTTTCAGGGGCTGTTCGGTAAAATCGGTCCAATTCAGCAACAACAACAACAACTTGTACCTTGAAGGTTCAAGGCACATCGCCAAAGTTTGTAGCGCTACGCGTCAGTCTGTACAATAGTGCTTCCATAGCCACTGCGTCAGACCCAAGGAGAGGAATATGCTCCGCATACTCCAGGTATGTCCGTCGGTCACCTGGTAAAAGTTCCACTCAGAGTCTGAAAGAACAGTCACTTATAACCCTTTCGATCAAATAGCTGCAGAAGCAAGTAGGTATAGACCAACCCAGGCGAACGCATATGTCGTGGGGAACTCAGGAGGCAGTTTCCCGTATGCTGCAACGCAGTCTCTGGGGACACATTAGGAGAAAACGTTTTCCAGGCACTACTTTCTCAGCTAAACAGTGCCACAAGCTGGCGTGATCAACACGGTCGAAGACAGCTTTCAGGCCAAGGAAAATCACCATATTTGGTCGTCTGTATGTGCCTTTGCTCTAACGCTTGATGAAGAGTGAATATGTGGTCGATGCAACCACGACCATAGCGAAGCCACCTTGGCTTTCGGTGATTCGATTCTCAGGAGGACCAGAATGATACCCGTGACCATTTTGGATGCAATGGATAGATGGCTAATGCTTCGGTGATTTTCGCACATAGCCCGTTGGCCCTTTTTGAGGATGAGCACAACGGTTTACAGTCGTCGGTCTGAAAGCATCTCTTCAGTGTCCCATATTGTAATAAATAGAGCAGCAAGTCTAGATAACAAATAGTCTTCTGTCTTTCAGCAAAGATGGGAAGGTTGTTGTGTCCAAGAGCCATTTTTCGTTCCAGCACGGCGAGCTCATGTCTAGTCTTTTCCAAAGTGGTAGGTGTGAGATCAACTTCCCACTGTCGGCAAGCGACAGTGTCACAGCAGGCTTGGTGAGCTGCTCCTCATAACATTCCGCTCAATAGGTTAGTCGACAAAGCTGAAGATGGATCAACCCCACCTTTCTCTCAACTATTGTCTAACTGCGAATAGCCCCGTCCGAGTTGCATTTTATCCGTGTCATCAGGCCCGTTTACCTGACTGCATTGTAGCAGTTGTTTTATTCCCTGGCTTTTTGTGTAACTCCCTCGCATTAGTGTGCTAGTTTATTCTAGTTCCTGACAGACAGACAGGCAACCACCTCAGTATTTTTAAGCTTTATCTGACAATGTTTAATCAGTGATCATTGCATTGGGCCCCGTATTTTTAGTTGCTACTTTCTTGTTGTTGACACGGTGTAGGTTTCTTGACCCTGAATGTTTAGTTAGGGCATTAAGACTACGTTAGGTCCCCTTCCTCCCTCTTAGTATTCTTCGTTGCGTAAATCATTTTGGTTGTAGAGCAGCGAAGCATCATTTCAAATGGCTGATTTGCTGTTATTGATGATGATGATGATGATGATGATGATGATGATGATGATGATGATATCAGTCAATTTTTGCCATCCGATTTGACTTTTTGTTGCCTTGTGTTTCTCACAAACTTCATTCTCTTGAGAACACATGATCTTCTCTTCGCGCACTTTGTCAATACTTGTGGTCACTTTGAACACTGCAGCCAGTGTTAGTTTCCCAGCCAGCTCGGAGAACACTTGCATACCCTCATCCGCATCCCGAGCTACAAATATTCTCACGGATTTCTAATATTAATTCACTTGCTGTGTCGGGTGGCACCGTCCCTAACTTCCAGCCTTCTATTTCGACTTGTTTTCTCAGAACTACGACGCTCAAGCTGTGTTGATCAACCTACTTCTTCGCAACTACCTACATTATCAACTTCATGAACAGGCGTACAAATTGGTGACCCGCGTTGTTTTTCCAACCAACGCGCCCAACAACGAGTGGGCACGTTACTTTTACTATGTTGGTAAGTGTACATTCCATGCTCCCACAGTTGGTTTCTATTGGGAATTAACAGATTATGTCAAGGTATACCTTGACATAATCAGTCACGTTTCTGGTTACACCATGCTTCTCGTGAGTCAACTCTTCACATGAGTACTGCTTTTGTCCAGAAGCGTGCGGTCCTTCAGCGTCTCCTTTTGCAGCGCATTAGCTGAGGTGTTTTCCACCTCTAGCCATTGGGTATAATGATGATGTGATGAGACCCCTGTTACCGCATTTCATAAAACATCCATGCCTTGCGTCCTTCAGTGGCCTCCCTTACAATCTACAGGTCTGATTCCATTCTTCCCAGGCGCGGGCGACGTAGCAGTATACTCAACCCACGCGCGGCCGGTAGTGGTTACGTGCAGCGAAGTGTCTGTACGGTATGCCAGCGTTTTTCGCTTATGCTTTTCCCCCTACTTATCTTGTCATTGAATTTGTGCCGATGAGTTGCATATTTATTCTAAGCGGTGACGATAAGTCGCACCAATTGCCTGATTACAGTGCATATACCTGTAACCGTCGTGACGGGAACAAATGGTGCACACCCTCCATTGCCGTCTTCGTTTGTATGCCTCATTTATCCAAACAAATGGTGCTGGACTCATATTGAGAGTTCTAAACCACTCCGGTTGTAGTAGTTTCCGTGTCAGAATCTCGCTTTTAGACTGCATTTCGTTTGACAATCACAGACGCTTTGAACCCCTAGTGAGACGATTACTGCTCGATGTGGCAACTGTATATTTTAGTGATAGTCTGTAACTATGTATGCGAGATTTTGCAAATATTTCATACACTTACCCATTCTGTTATTTCATAAACTTCTGTGGTATCATTGGCGTTTATTCTTTGCTGTCCTAAAGTATTATCGCACTCGTATTCTCTGGTTTCCATCTACTTTCCTTGAATACTGCTTACTCCTGTTTCTGGCTGTTTGGTGCTCACTGGTTCCCGGTGACTCGTCACTCCCTTCTTTAACTATCGAACGTGTCATTACTCTTACTGGGTTAATCTTTTTGTTGTTATCATCATCATAAACAGCAATACACTAACCATCTGAACTGATACTTCACTGTCATACAACCATGGTGTCTTGAGAAACAAAAAACAATGAGAGGGTGCGAAGGGGGACCTGGCGGAAAACCTTAATGCTCTAAACAAACACTCAGGGTCAAGGCGCGTGCACCTTTTGTTGACAACACCATCACAAACAACTGGCTATCATACACAGATGAGACGACATCTGCGAGACAGCTTCCTAGCGGCTTTCACTGCTCGCGTCTTAATCAGCTATTACCCTGCAGATAACTCAGCACCAAACACACTTTAACTAGACAGTCCGGCTAGGAGACCACAGCAGACGCCACTGATGTCGGCTGCGAGCCATATCCTGTAAAGCCTCGAGCCAAGGACAAGGCGAGTCACGTGGACTCCCGCCTGGAAAACAAGACGGACCAACAACATCACGTTTTGTGGTCAATGGCTTCATTTCCTTCTGCCAAGTTAACTTTGGTACACCTCGAGTCTTGCGCCACCCTACGTCTGGCAAACGAAATAAAACCCCACCTCATTAATAGATGACGTACTATACGTAATAGGCGCCCAAGCCAACGCAAATTCTACAGTGTTATATGTTCTGAGGAACTTCCTTGAGTATCAGTGTCTAGCATAGGCATACGCACATCATCTTTGCGGACATGCTGGTGCCACCCGACACCAGCAGTGCTCCGCAGGCAGCGATGATCAAAGACTTGTAGTCGCCTTATATCTTCAGACCGAAGTGGCCAAGTCTCACTCACATAGGGTAGGACAGCCCTCACTGTGGCCTTTTAACCAATGATGTCGCAGATCCCGGAAGTCATTTCTGGCTTTTGCAATAAACGAACTGACTTCTATTGTTATGCGCTCATCGTTGCTAATGCAGCCACCAAAGTAAGTGAATCATTCAACTATCTCTACATCATCGCTATCAAGCGGCTGGTGGTCCTACAACAAACTTTGCACTTGAACGCGCGAAGCGCACGCCAAATGATAGGACCACTCTAGAGAGCGTATTCAGGGTTGATTGGGCCGCGTAAACAAGGCGATATTGTCCTCTACTAGGCAACACCTCAACGCACCTGCATCGTGAGACTCCGCGAGGGAACACTGGTGATGCGGTCCACGACGATGTTGAACAAAAATGGGGAATCTGGATAGCCCTGACGAACGTCACTTGCTGTCGGAAAGATATCCGACAAGTCAACGTAGACCCTGGCACGGCCTGTCGTGTTCGAATATGAAGCACGTAAAGTATTCACGTATTTCATGGGAATACCTTTCCGCACACGTATTTCGAACAGTATGCATTCCTCGACTGAACCGAACGTACTCTTGAAGTCCAGACACGCGGCTGTTGTCGGCCTGTGGTACGTGGTGCGCGGCTCTAGCACCTACCGCAAAGTGAATTATATTAATGTACAACAGTTGACCAATATACTGTTGACAGTGCCACAACACATGGTTAACTACAACAAAAAGGGAAAACACATAATCAGTGGGAGGTTTAGAAGGTTTGTGCGTTGTGTGGGCAGAGATCTTTCCGGTTGCCCAGGCCGAGGAAAAGGGGTTTACTTAAAAGACCCCACCCCGAGCTTTTGGTCATAAAGACCAGATTTTTAAAGGCAGATCGCTGACAGCCGGGTAGTTCATCCGCCCTCTTTGTGTTCGGAAGCAATCCACAGAGAAGCCGTTGACCAGCAAGGATGTCCATTCGCATTCCGTTAGCTACTCCCTTCTGTGACTAGAAGTGAGTGGTCAGTCAGTTGGTCTGACACAGCGCCGTACGAGCTCATGTGGTATTTGTTGGGGACCCAGGTGACCAGCCGGGAACTCCCCACGCTCTGAGAGGCTGCTACTGATTGTTCGCGAATGCTTATTTATCTCGTCTGCAAGGCAAGGAAGACATTCCCCAATATTCAACTTGGGGACGCGCCTGATAGCGTACAGCTCCGCCACGGGCCACAAAGTGAATATATGGTCTATACTCCCCAGTCCAGCACGTAAACCTGCTTGCTCTTCCCTTATTCGGGATTCTCGTTCCGCAGTGAGGCGACGAACGAGAATCCAGACCAGTACTTTTGTCACTACTGACGTTATGCTACTAACCTTGTGGTTAGTGCAATCAGTGGGAGTACCCTTTTTGTGGATTGACACCTTGATTTGTTCAATAAACGTACCTGGGATGATCACTTCCTTCCGGACGTGTACGAACAAAGGTCAGTGCTTTTCAGAGGACCTCACCACCATCCTTAAACACTGCAGGAGAGGGAATCCTGTTCAACATCACGAAACGATTGCGAGCTGTGATCGCGTATCCGAATTCAACCTCCGATGGAGCCTCTAAACAAAGCGGTCATGGTTCATCCCGCATCATCTGAGTAGGAAGAGGTCCGGAAACAAGGGGCCTATTGAACTGACCTTGAAAGTGTTCCGCCCAACGAGCCATAAGGCGCTCATTATTGTGAATCAGGACATCCGCGCTGTCACTGAGTGTCTTGCTGATGTCTGGTTTTCTGGGACTAGTGGTGCGGATCAATTTGAAGAGGTTACGGTCATGGCTACTGCTCCACCTCCTTCATTTCTTGAGCGCGACTGGTTCACCAGGCTTCTTTGTCAGCACGCAGAGTCCACTTTATTGCAAGCCTAACCGTCCATCTGGTTACATTGTGCTCAGAGCCAGCGGGGAGTTTTCTTCTGCATTCCAACAGGTTCACCGACCTTTCCGATATCCATGACTGGTGCGGTGATGATTGATAGTGCTGCAAGAAGATACTACTGCGCCGTGTATAACTGCCGAGATTCTATTCTACTGAAGCTCAGTATCATTAGGATAAGACAGCAGAAGTTCGATCCACAGTTATCCTAGTAGGTTTGCCTAACCGAGAGCTGAGACAACTTCTCAGTTGTCAATCCGAGGAGACGCTGCGTACGCCTCCTGGTGAAGTTAATGGAGAAACGACAGCTTACCTTGGCGGCCTATTCAGGACGAGCGGCAATCTAGCATGGAATTACGCCCCATGTAACTTATGGTGATGTGATCTATTTGGGTCAGTCGCTAACCATGTACAGGAGAACGCCAATTGACACTCTAGCGCCCACTGTGTCTAAATGCGGTGCTTCTAGGAAACAGCTGGTGCTCCGCACACAGTTGCAACAGGCGCTGGCCGTTGTCTTTCCGTTCTGAGTTAAGCCTATACTTACCACCTAACTGAGCATCTCAATTAGGCTGGACTCCATCGCAATGAGGCTGGATCTTACCGTGGTGAGATGGTTTGCGTGCCTCAGAGATCCATTGAGCTATGCTGGGTGGTGCTTTTTTGCAACTTCAGAGCCACTCCTACCAGATTGGTCAATGGTTAGAGGCCAGACGAACTCAGCGTCCTGGTCCTCCAGGTTGGGTGTTGGAATGAGTGTGGCTCCTTATCCCTTAAAACGGACTCCTTGTAGCCCACCGCCAAACCCGCTGCCTTGCAGTCAGGTTTTTTAATCAACGACTTTAGTTAAGAACCGTAATCGTTCTCCTGTCTAGGCCTGGGCAACCTAACAGTATCCTGCCCACGCAGTACAATAAATTTTTCTTCAAACAGTTTCCTGATACTGGCCGTCGCAGAGGATACTCAACGGTGCCCTATCTGCTGCATCGAGCAGGGTGGATAGAGATTTGGATTCCACTGCTCAGGCCTTTCTATCTTCTTATTCACTCTCACGCTTTTTCATCCTTAGCGTCCCGCTCCAACTTCACTTTTATCCCCCCAGTTTTCAGCCTTCCGATTATGCCCCCCAACATGCTTTGCTAGCCGTTTATCTTCTAGTTTCAACTCACATGCAAACGCGGAGCGTCACTCCTGTCCTGTCGACAAGCCCATGTCCAACCAAGCGGTCCACCACAGTTCATCGGCTTCCATTTGGAGCCCTCGATCCTCCTTCATATTGACATGCCTAAATGTACGCACATTGCTACAGATCGGTCAACAGGCAGCACTTGCCGAACTTTGGAGTCCTTCTCTATCGATGTCTGCTGCTTATCGGAGACCCGCCTGCAAGACTCGAGTCCTATGCTGACTCTGCGA